ACATTCAAAATTTCCTCTATACCGCGAACATGTTAGAACTTAATTATCCAGTCTTTTACACGATTCAGATGATGGAATATGGCTTTAACTAATCCTAGGCGATACAAAAGACGGTCATACCTGTTAGAACATGTTAAATCACGAAATAACAATCCGAAATCCCTTGCACTGTCCTCTTCCCGTGATGGTCGCTTACACACTGAACGGGAGGAGATCAGCTGACTTCGCGTATATCAGCTGATCCTTGTTTACTTCTTATTTACCCACACTGTTCGTTGTTTCAATTCTCATATGTGTTCATTCTATGATTTTTTTGGTATTGTATGATTTTTTACCACCTTTTATGAATGAGATTTTTAATATATTGAAGGAAGTGTGCAGAATCTTACTCGTATTTGAGACTCATCGTTACAGTTAGGAATGAATGCTTTAGTTTTGAGTTATAAGTCATGGACAAAAAATCAAAGAGTGTGCAGTCCCAATATATTTTTTTGCACACATGGGCGGTGTATCATGTATTTCTAAAACGAAGTATACATATCAAACTGAATTTTCGCTTGCAATTAGCAAGATGAAGCCCAAAGATATCCAGTGGTCTTAGTGTCCAGCGTAATCCATATTAGCATATTTCCTAAGCTTAAACAACGTTTCCTGTTTCAGTTTTACAACTGCAGCATTATCGTAAATGGTACTAGAGATAATATTGATCAATGTTTAGACGTCATGCATCTTACAAAAACAATAATTTCACTCATGTTGCAAATTGCGAATTATTTCAACAAGGAATTTCTTTGACCCAGCAACTTCAATTTTGTTCGGTCGCTGTCTTTCTGTCAAATTACAATTGACATAAGCTACCTTCTATGAACGCCACAAAAACAACCTAATTGCTTAAATTCTAATAGCATAATATAAATCCGACAATCTAGAATAAGTTAAAATGCCCAAGACCCTCGATATCAATCCATTCACATCTGGAACCCAAGGAATCGGACGCAAGGGAGCATGACAACCGAGTTTGGTAGAATAAGCGACGCCTTCCAGACGCCAGTACGGTGCCGGTCGTCATCGAGAAGAGTCCTTTGTATTCGCCTTTCACGTCGCCTTTAAAACAACTTCAACATGGTTCGCTGGCTGCCCCTGGAATCCAACCCCGCGGTATGTCCTGAGATTACTTTGTCTGGATGGACTGAGATTTGTGTGTGATTACTTGCTCTGGAATGTTCTGCGGTTGTTTTGAAGTTCGTTGGCAATTTAAAAATTATAATTGTATGACATTTTTGGATTTAAACAAAATCTTTAAACCATATTTCAGATTTATTTGCTCCAATGACTTCGTAGAATTTTTATTATCCATTGCTAGCCTCTCATTTATTGTCGTGTTGCTTAGCAGACCATAATCCACAAAATAAATGTTTGCACCTTTTCTCTCTCTCATATTTCTGTATTTAGATAAAGAAGAATAAATTAATGACAAGTTTATATGTGACAAATGCATCATATATATGTCTTACAGCTTAACGTTTTTTTTTTTTGTTTGTTTGTTTGTTTTAAGAACGATTTTTCGAGAATCTGCAACGTGGTGCAACTTCCAAGTCTATTGTATTGGAAATAAATCGGTTAAGTTTGCATAAGAAGTCGAGAGATCAGAATTAGAATAAAGTATTTCGGTAATTTCCTCTCATATTATTGCCAGCATGTTTTTCGTGTATTTTTGCAATATATTTTGCGTCTTCTGTAACGTATATTTTCTGGCCAAATATTTTCGTTCAGTAAATAAGATTTGTTTGTGCAGTAATGTCATTTTTTTCCCACAAACGCGGCAGCAATTTCAAAAAACTGTTAGTCACGAAAATGGCAGTTTTACGAGACTAGCTAAAAAGACAACGTAAAAGAAGCAAACTATTTGAACAAGTAGTTATCTGTCAGTAGTAGTTTAGACACAACAAGGTACTCTCAAGCAAACAAACGAGCAAACAAGAGTCCCCCTTCAATTCATAAAAAGAATCTTTCTCAAATAAGCTAACCACAACCATTTTTTATATATTTATTTATTTATTTATTTACCAATTTTGCTTTTTTGTTTTTAGTGACAGACCAACAAACCAAGTGCACCGTACAGCGAACTCCATTTCAATAGCAAACAAACAAACAAAAATCAAAATAACGCTTACTTTTCATATTATTTTTCTATTATTCGACTTTTAAAAAAACACGTATCCAGGGTATTATTGATCTCGCATCGGCGGTTCTGCGAAATCGTTCTAGAATGTTCTCTTATGGGGGCAGTGGCGTGCTGTGTCACTCAGGTGTCTGTTCTTGTTCAGTTTTCGCTGTTCTGTCCTTGTGGGAGGGGCTTTGTTCTTGTTATTTCTGTTATCATGATCTTTTTTTTTTTTTTTCATTATCTTGTACCATCGTTATTGTTTATTGTCCATGTTCGTGTTATTGTCTATTTGCTCATTCTCTTCTTTCTCTTCCTCAACAGGTGATGAACAAGGTGAGAGGCGATACTGGTGGATAATTCTAGAAGGCGAGGACTGTGAGTATGGAAACGGGGGGGGGGGGGGGGGGTGGAATGGGAATTGAAGATAATTGATAATTGTGTGCAATGACTTGATTGTCAGGTTGCAAGGTCGGTTTGCATTTAGCGTGTTAAAGGCTTCATTCCTTTTTTGTTTGTCTTCTATGGTCACTTTATCCTTTTTCTATCTTCTTGTATATTTCTCCTTTTTTCCTTTCATCTTTCCTGATTCTTCCCTCTTTCTTTCCTCCCATCCTTTCCACCCTCCTTTCCTTCCTCCCCACCTTTTCACACTCTACTTTCCCTCCTCTCCACCTTCTCCCTCCCCCTACCTACCCTACTTCCCAGGAATGCGGTCACAACATTGAAAGCGTGCCTTGCCATTCGCGAGGTATGGTGCCATGAGGTATGATGTTGCTGTGAGGTGTTTTTTTCCCTGCCCATGACGGTGATCCGCATATTTTTACCTCCCCCCTCTCCCCCGCTTCCCCCTAATGCTGGATAGGGTGGCTTGGGGGTAAGGGTGACGTAGGGAAGGTTTATGGGTTAGAGAGCATTGCAAAATTTACTTGCTTTTGAAAAGAATCTGTCTATTTCTATATCCCTCTCTCTCTTCTTTCTTTTTTCTTTTTTGTTTCTCTTCTTTTTTCTTTTTCTTTTTTCCTTCTTTCTTCTCTTTCTCTCTCTCCTTCTCTCCCCCCCCCACTCTTCAAGATTCCCGCGCCTCCGTCACTGGTCCACCGGCGATCCGGCAAAGGCCATCAGAAACTCTCCCCCCCCCCCTCCCCCATATACATGTTCTGACAGGACGGAACACGCAGGCGTCGCTGTCCATTTATTGTTCACGAGTAACCAGTTCCCCGAACTCCTCTCTCTCTCTCGCCGGACTAATCGCGGTGGACCTCTGTTTGTCTTTGCCGGAGCGTGCAGGGCTGGGGGGGACGCGGCGGTTTTTGACACCACGCCGCGGACTACTCCTGTCTGTCAAAATAGATCGCTGCAATTTTCGGTTGGATTTAGAATGAACTCGGACTGTGTGATGGCGAGGAAGTCCTTTGAAATCTCTTTTGGGTTGTCTTGCAAAGCGGATGTTCAGTACATGAGTTCGTGGTGGCTGTAGTCTTTTTATTTATTTTATTTTTTTATTTTTTTTTATTATTTATTGGAGTTGGTGTGCGGGCGTTAAAGATTCCGTATGCTTGTCTGTAATGTTATTGGCATTGCTGGAGTTCGCCCTCTGCTTCCTTCTCTTTCCCTCTTAATATCTCGAGTGCGAAGGAGATTGAGCAAGAGGGAGCTCTCGGCCCCTTTTTCTCTCACTCTCTTCCTCCCTCTACCCTTTACTCTCCCGTTATTCCCTACTCTCTTACGTTTTCCTCCTCCTTGCCTCTCTTTTCTTTTTTTCCCCTACCCCTACTCTCTCCCTCATTCTGCTGTCTTCTTTCTGCCTCGTTTTCTCGCTTTCTCTCCTCTTTTCTCCTCTCCTTCTCTTCTCTTCTTCCTCTTCTTCTCCTAATCATCCTCCTCTTCCTCCTCCTGCGTGACTCGCTCTTGGGCCAGACGTAAAGTTGGTGTGTTGCTTACAGATTGCATGCCTCCCCTCCCCCCCCCCCGTATCGCCTCTCCTTGGCTATCGATCTAAATTCTCTCTCTCTCTCTCTCCTCTTCTCTTCTCTCTCTCTCTCTCTCTCTCTCTCTCTCTCTCTCTCTCTCTCTCTCTCTCTCTCTCTTTCACATTCCTCCCCACATCGAATTTCTACAAAAGACAGTGGCTATAAATAACCAGTTCGGCCCAGTTCATTCAGGCTTTTTTTGCTAAGGTTTAGAGGAGGGGGATGGGTAGAGGAGAGGGGGGGAAGGGGGGTTGTAGTACTCCATGAGGCACGTGGTGTCTGCTGCTCCTCGCTCCCTCCCCTCCCCCCTACTCCTACTCCCCCTTCCCGGCAAGTGGTAAGATCCACGAGTGCATTTTTGTTTGTTTTTGTTTTGCTTTGACATGTAAACTCTTGTTTTGTTTACATTATTTGTAGGTTTATTAATCATTGTATAGGGTAGGCCTATATTGTGTGTGATCTTGGATATGTCTCCGATGCTTCTGTGTTATCCAGGTCTATTCAGCTAAATTATAATAATATTAATATTAATGTTAATATTGATAATGATATTAACAATAATAATGATGATAAGGATAAGAATAAAGATAGTAATAAAAGTGATAATGATATTGGAAGCAATAGTAATCGATTGAAACCCTTATTTTTTCTACCTCTGATAGATTGAATGCGTTCTGGGTATGCGCTTGTGCCAATGCAGTGGGAATTCGTTCGAAGCGCATTCTTTGGCGGTGAATTGGGAATGCTTTGCCTGCCGTCGCGCGCTGATCGATGCCTCGCCGTGACGTGTCTGTGACGTGTTCTGTCGCTAGGTGGATCTGGTGGTTTCTCGTCTTTGCATTTTCCCCCCTTCTTATTCTTTTTTTTTTTTTCTTTTTCGACGTTAATTATCTTGGTGTTTTTTTTTTTTTTTCGTCTCTCTCTCTTTCGCCTTACCTTAGTCTCTCTCTCTCTCTCTCTCTCTCTCTCTCTCTCTCTCTCTCTCTCTCTCTCTCTCTCTTCTCTCTCTCTCTCTCTCCTTCTCTCTCTCTCTCTCTCTCTCTCTTTTTGGCTGTGGCAGAATCAAGCACTTGAGCCACGTTCTTGGAGGCTTGCTTGAGCGATGGGGATTTTGCACTGTTATCGAGGAAGGTTGTTGTCTTCATGTTCTTGTCTGTCTGTCTGTCTATTTTTTGTCGTGTTTATCCTTTTTTCCTGTATTCCACGTGTCGAATCGGTGTTATGGTATGCGTGGGTTATTTTGTTTGATTTTTCCCTGGGTGTAGATGAGAATATTGGAAAATAGAGAGAGAGAGGGAGAGAAGGCTTTTTAGCTGGACTCCTACCACGTCAAGAGAGTTAGAGCAGCAGGTGCACTGGCTTTGTGGTGGGGGTCGTGGGGGTTGTCGAAGTGTGGGGGGGGGGGCTTAGGGAGAGGGTGGGTGGGGGGGGGGGGCTGAGGTTACGTGAGGATAATATCAGCCTAGCTTCTCTTGTGAGGTTTCTTTCTCCTGTCTTTGGTCTCGTTTCTTTACCTCCTTTTTAGCCATTTTTCCTTTATTTTTAATGTTTCGATGGAATATTTTCATATTCTTATATATTTTTTATTTCATTTTCTTTTTTGCCTTCCATTTCTTTAATTGGTTTCTTCTTCCTCTTTATCCGGTTTCCTTTCTGCACTCGAGTCGTTCCTCCTCTTCTCTCCCCCTATATCCCTCCCTTCCCCTCTCTTCTCCCCCCCATCTCCCATTCCCTCTCCATCTCCCCCAGTCACACCTCAGTCCTCAACCTTTACTCCTCCTCTCTCCATTCCCCTTTTTATTAAGATCTTCCATACGTCCTCCCTCTCCTCTTCCTCTCTTCTTCTCTCTTCCATTCCCATCCGACCTCTAAACTAAGCAGACCTACCATCGATTGAGTGGAGTCACGGGGCCAGTCTGACACGCGCTGGCACTGTCTGGAGGCACTGATCTCTATGGTGTCTGGTGGGACTGATAGATGGCGACACGGGGAGGAGGGGTGGGACATGGGGCATGGGGTATGGGGTGGATTTGAGGGTTGTTAGGGTATTTCGTCATTGTTGTTATTGCTGTATGTTGGGGGCCAAGTGAAGAGTATATATATTTATATTTATTATTTGTTTGTTTGTTTTACTGTTATTTGTTTATTTTTATTTGTATTTATTTATTTATTTATTTTTGAGGGGGGGGGGCTGGCTCTGAAAGGTTTTATCGATTAGTGATCGATTTCGAAGCAAGAATCGTAAAAGAAAATGGAAGAGTTGACTAGACCCCCCCCCCTACCATCACCTCGCCCCCAAAGAGCATATCTGATTTACCTGTCCTTATTTTCATCATTTTACAGAAATCCCAAGTATAGTTTTACTTAACAGGATTGTTATAGTTACTATAAATTGTCATTACTATTATCTATCTTTTTTTTTCCCCTTTTTTTGTCGTTACCCGAATGATTAATAGTATTTTAATATTTTAATAATATATTTATTTATAAGCATTTTTTTATTTTTAACTTTTTTTGTTTTGTGCACTCTGAGGGCTGGAGATTGAAAGGTTGATAATGGTTCTGTTGTCGCTTTGTTTGTTGTCGTCGACGGTAATGCGATGCTGCATGTGCGTTGGGTCATGCATAGTCATGATTTGGCGACGTTTCGTTGTGCAATTCTGTGTTAATTGCTGTTGTATGATTACTGTTATTTTCGTTGGTGTCGCTGGGACTGATACAGGGTGGCATTTGGCAATCTGTGTTTAGTTTTTTTTATTATTACTGTAATTAATTTCTTGTTTTCTGTTTGTTTTTTTATATACGGGAGAGAGACGAGAGAAGAGAGAGAGAGAAGAGAGAGAGAGAGAGAGAGAGAGAGAGAGAGAGAGGGGGGGGGGGAGAGGGGGAGAGGGAGAGAGGGGAAGATGAGAGAAACCTCCTTTTCCCTTCATCTTATCTTTCCCTTCTTTCCTTTCATTCCTTTATTTTCTTTCTTTTCCATCCCCGTTCTCTCTTGCTTTCCTTTCCCCTCCCCTTTCCTCATTTTTTATCGCCATTATTTCTTCCTTTCTTTCCATTCGACTGTTGCCTTCTCCCTACTTTGTCTTCCTTTTTCCCTTCTCTTATTTATAGTATTACTTTTTCCACTCCGTTCCACGTTTTATTATTTTTTTCACCCCTTCCATCTCCCTTTCCCATTCCTTCCATCCTCCCTTCCATCCCCCTTTCCCATTCCTTCCATCCTCCTTTTCTACGCCATCTCCCTCCTTTTATTCCACCGTTCTAGGTCCCGGTTATGTAAAATGTCAAGTGAATGTCCGTCTGTCTGTCTCTGTCTGTCCTCCCCCGGCGCCAAAAGGTGAATGGTGACGTCATTCTTCC